CCCGCATATCGGACGGCTCGCCTCCAAGATGTTTGTCCGCGTCAACGCCAGCCGTGTGCCCCGCCCCTGGGGCACGCGCTCTCGTTTAATGGTGCGCTGTGAGCATTTCAGTACTGTCACCCCTCTGCACACTCCCCCGCCCTCGATCTCCTTCATCCGCCGCCCCTCACCAAAACTTCGACCCGAATCTGGCGCGCAGCGCGTCATGGACCTCCCCCCTGCGGCCAATGCTGCTTAAGGGATAGAATAAAATAATAATAAAACAAATTTAAATAATAATAAAATAAGAATAAATTGCAAGGAAAATGAGCAATAGCGAGGTGACAAAATCCAGATTGCACAATCACATTGAAAGCCAGAAAGTATCACGGTGTCCAGAAAGCAGCATTCCACCAATATAACACCAATGGAGAGTCGTAACGCTGAAAACCGAACGTCAATGAGAGCTTGCTCTCGCCATCACCAGCATAAGTATCCAGGGATTCCAGGCCCTTCTCCCTACTTGGCTCTCGGCACCCAGCCTACTTCCTACACAGCTACTATCTGCCGACTAATTGACAATGCAACTGTTGACGTCAGCAGCCAACGAAGTACTTGAAGATGTCGACCAATGCAGACCATCGCCAATACCAGGTATGTGCCCTCACATCATCATCGTCATCATCATCATCATCATCATCATCATCATCGTGCCTTCTCCCTCGACTTTCACCCACGTCTTTCCTCTGTACACCCGAAGACCACCCCTGCGCCTTGCTGTAGTCCAAGCCCAGTCAGCTATGGAAGCTGGGCTATGGCGCTGCCCCCAGCAGCACCCTACCTCCTACACGATCGCACGTGCGCAGCACCTTGCCTTAATGGAGGCAGCAGCCCGCAAGACTCCACTCCAGCAGCGCTGCCGCTGGCTTGCAAGTGCCCGAATGCCCTCCAGGCAGCGAGCTCCTTCCTATATGGAAAGATTCTGCTTGCCCTGCGGCCTGTCAGGGCTGGGCCTGCGCCCAGAAGCTTCCGGTAGGTCCAAGGAGGCTGGGCCTCTGCTACAGCTGCTGGGCGTCGTTCAGTTATGCCTCCCAACTGTCTGTGTATGCTGCTGTGAATCCTGCCCAGGGCCTGCATTTCAGAAAAGACCTGGAAGTCCGTGGAAAGTCTTTGCTGCTCGGGGCCTGAGTTCCCTCAACCAATTGACGCGACACAACTGCCTGAACCCCAAATACGAAATTTACAGCATTGGGCCTCTCGTGATTTGTTAGGCCCGCCTTCACTTAGGACGGGCACATCTGTATCAGGGGCCCCTTGGGCCTGCCGAGAAACCAAATCCTCGCATTCCCTCCTCCTTTACTTCGATAGTCCCCTGAGAAGTCTTCTAATCTGCAGGCATCTTCCCCGTGAGTGCTCTTTCGTAGCCTGCAATCACTTGGGGTGCTGTTCGCTGTAGCTCTTCAGTGGTAAACCATCGATCTTCACTGGGGTCAGTATGGTGTTTGAATCTGACACGGTACTGCATCCTTGGCTTTGGAGGACGGCCTCTGCCGGGATGTTTAGGCACTGGCATCACCCGATGCTCCACAATTTCGTCGATGTCGACTTTACCATCCATGGTTGGGGGCAGCATTGACCGTCTGGAGGGAAACTGTGCAGTCTCTGTGAAAGGTGCCAGCTTTGAGGCGTGAAAAACTGGGTGTGTGCGTAGATGAGGTGGGATGCGAATCACATAGGAGGGTCCATCCATCTGATCACCAATTACGTCTAGGACCTCCCAGGGACCAAAGTACTGTGGCATTAGTTTCCGGGAGATTCCCATTTCCTGACCTAGTTCAAATGATTTGACCCATACCCGTTCTCCTACCTGAAACTGAGATGGTCGTCTATGCTTGTTCTCGGATGCAACCATGGCATTCTGAGCTTTCTTTATGTGCTCTACAACCCGTTGCAGCATCTGTTCATACTTGACGGCAAACTCTATGCTGTCAGGTGCTGCAGATGATTGACTCTCAGGTAGCAAAAAATCTAAGGCGGGTTTAGGCTTCCAACCAAGATGCAGTTGGTTGGGAGTCATGCCAGAAGTGCTATGCAGAACATTGTTATACAGGCTGGCGACGAGAGGCAATTTCTTGTCCCAGTCATCCTGACTTGGCTTGATGTAATGCCTTAGTAAGTGCTGCACTACTCGGTTCATCTGTTCCGTCTGACCATTTGACTCAGGGTGATTCCCTGACGTCATCTGCAGTCAGGTACCCATCTGCTGGGCAGTGTTTTGCCACAGTTCCCTTGTAAAGCGAACATCCCTGTCGCTGACAATGGACTTAGGTAAACCAAAGTTCCGTACCCAGTTATCCGTAAACAACCTGATGACGTAGTCAGTTTTAGCGGTCTCTGGCATAGCGAGTAGTCTTGCATACTTGGAAAATCAGTCCACTCTAAACGAAGATGTGTCTCTTTCCAGTCCTGTTGGTCACAAGAGTATCCATGAAGTCCATGGACACACTTTGACCAGGACCTTCAGGAATCGGCAAGGGCTGGATAAGCCCAAGCGGAGCCTGAGTCCTAGGTTTGTCCCGTTGACAAACCTGGCAGGTTTTAATGTACCTTCTTGCAGTTTGCATCATAGAGGCCCACCAGAATCTCTGTACTAGGTTAGCTGATGTTTTCGTATAACCGAAGTGACCAGTTGCATCATGACATGCACCTAGAAACAAACTACGTAAAGACTCTCTATCGGGTACACACGATCTTTTATTCCCAACCTTCTCAAGGAACACCAAGCCATTGACCACCATAAACTCGTTAGAAGCTACTTTATCTTTTGCTTCTAACTTACGGATGATTTATGTCATAATTGCATCCTCTCGATAGGCTTCCACCAAGGATCGAGATACATCGTCTGATATATCGAACTCAATCACTGGCGCGCCCAGATAGTCTGCCCCACGTGATAGTGCATCAGCCACTTCGCTATACTCTCCCTTGATTGGGTCAAGTTGATAGTCATACATGCCTATCACTTGAATCCACCTCTTGAGTGCGTCTGAGAGTACAGGTTGTGTCTTGATTCAGTGCAAAGTCTCATGGTCAGATCTCACATAGAAGAATCTGCCTAGGAGATAGTGTCTCCAGTGGACCAGCGCTCTATAGAGGGCATAAAACTCACGCTCATACGTGGACTTTGCTAACTTCTGAGATGACATATTTTTACTCATGTACTCGATGGGCCTTAACTTCTTCCCCTCCTTTTGTGCAAGGACCGCGCCTATGTCATATTGGCTGGCGTCAGTGGTCACTATAAATGGGTGCTCAGGATCAGGCAGTTGAAGGACTTCATAGTGTGTCAGGGCATACTTCAATTTCTTGAAGGCTGCCTCACACTCTTTTGTCCACTCCCAAGGGGTGTCAAGGCGCGTGAGGTCAGTCAATGGGGAGGCTATAGTGCTGTAGTTCTTTACAAACGGTCTATAATAGCCTGCCATCCCCAAGAATGACCTCACCTCAGTCACAGACTGAGGTCTGGGCCAGTCACGTATGTTGGCCACCTTAGCATCATCCGGCCTCAATCCGTCCGCGGAAATTTCATGACCCAGATACAAGATCTTGGTGCGACCAAACTCGCATTTCTCCAAGTTAACCTTGTGTTGGGGCTGTCTTAGGAGACCTAGCACTATTTCCACGTGCTCAACGTGCTCCTCTACGGTCTTACTAAAGATAAGGATATCGTCGAGGTACACGACGATAAACTTGTCTAAGTACTTGTGAAAAATCTGGTTCATTGCGTGCTGGAATCTCCCAGGTGCATTGCATAGACCAAAGGGCATCACCATAAACTTGTACAGACCGTACCTGGTCCGAAATGCGGTTTTGTGTTGGTCCTCAGGTCTAATGGCAATTTGATGGTATTCGGCCTTCAAATCTATCTTTGTGAAGTACTGGCATCCCTGCACTCTATCTAAGAGGTCGTCGATGTGGGGTAGGTGCTCTGTGTTCTTAACGGTGATGGCATTGAGGCTCCTATAGTCAATGCACATCCTTAAAGTACCCCCCTTCCTTGGAATAAATAGGACAGTCGCACCATAAGGGGAGGTACCATGCCGAATCCATCCCTTTTCTGTGAGCTCTTTAAGCTAGCGGCGGAGCTCATCCAACTTCGCAGGAGACATCTTATAGCTTCGTCCACTAGGTACTTTGCTACCAGGGACGACTTCTATCGTATGGACAACCTCCCTTTCCACCACACCACTGAATATTGAGCAACGACTGCTTCTATCTCTGGGAATGATTATGGCCTCCCCTTTTTCAGAGACCAAGACTAGGTATATGCCCTCCTCGCGATTTTGTT